CTCTCTTTTTTCTACAGCACTAATTGCGCAGGTTGAAACATTCTATTTTTGTTAGAATTTTTAACTTTTATCTAGTAAAGGTAATGCAGGGTATGAATTGTGTCTTTTGCATCTCACATATGCATGACATATGGTGAAGAAGCTGTTTGAGCATATAAAATATGCTATATATGTGTGTGTGTGTGTGTGTGTGTGTGTGTGTGTGTATATATATATATATATATTTAAAACAACTATGTATATGGTTAGATCTTTGAATAAAGTTGAGTTACAAATATTTGAACTGCATTTATTTTCAGAATGGTATTGGTGATACTTTCTCAGGTAGCTTCTGATACTTGCTTGTAATTCTGGTGTCTAGGTGCTGCTTTGAGTAATCCGAAACTGGTTGCTGTGTCTATACCAAACAGGAATCAAATACGTAGAGTTGTTGTTCACTAGGTTCATAAAATGCCTATTTCTTCTGTCTGTCTGTGACTGGAACATAGTTGAACATAGTTCACTGTATTGTGGTCTGGCAAGCATCATTTTTGCAGTCTCAGGGTAGTCATAAAACCGAGAGGCTTACTGAGTTCCTATTTGCTCACCATACATGACAGGTAGACTAAAACGGCTCAGTGACTGTCAAGTTGTGTAGACAAGGTATGGGGCTAGTCTGCCTATTATTACCTGAATATAGAAAGGTGGAGAAAAAACCTATGTGGAAGCTCCACAAACTCCATAATTCTTAAAAGCACAAGTTCCCTTTTGTGAGTCTTAATATGCTTCTCCCCTGTTTAGGAAAGAAAACACATTTATGGTGGGAATAGTATGGTCAGGGCCTAAGAGCAGATGCGCCACTTCCTTTCTGAATGACTAAGCTGAGCAGTTTTATTGACTTGACTTCTCTGTTGTGGCCATCTGAGAACTGGCTGACCAGCAGCCCTTCCGATATCTTTGTTGCAGGCTTTTTAGGACTTTAAAACAGCACTTTGAATTGCATCTGAAGATACACTGGAAGGCACTGCAGAACTTTAAGCATCAGCAATATATGTTCGATATGAGGGTCCAAGTTAACAACGTCACAATTACAGTGGTACCTCGGGTTAAGTACGTAATTCGTTCCGGAGGTCTGTTCTTAACCTGAAACTGTTCTTAACCTGAAGCACCACTTTAGCTAATGGGGCCTCCAGCTGCCGCCACGCCACCAGAGCATGATTTCTGTTCTCATCCTGAAACAAAGTTCTTAACCCTAGGTACTATTTCTGGGTTAGTGGAGTCTGTAACCTGAAGCGTATGTAACCTGAGGTACCACTGTATGTCCTGAATTAGCTGAAGTATTTAAATGTTCTTCAAAGGCATTCCGACGTACGCCACATTGCAGTAATCAAAAGTGGTTGTTACAAAACCATAGATAACTGCACAAAGGCCATTCATTTTACAAAGGAATGCTCAGAGTTTCTAACTCATTATGCCTGGATTGCTATGTAAAATGAATCAATCCAAATGCTTTGATTCCAAATAGTGTCATCATCCTGGTGCGTCTGAAATGAAGATGCAATGCCATGATTTAGAATTTTGTGCTGGCATAGATGTTGGAATAATCCAATTCTGGCCACCATTATTAAATGCCACCAAAGTCACAAGTAAAAAAAAAAAAGTTTGAAACGAGGACATAAAAACAGAACTCCAGGTAAGACATATTTATTCTATCATAGAATTATCTAGTCCAACCCCCTCTAATGCCGGAATCTCAACTAGATCATCCATGGCAGATGGCCATACAACCTCTGCTTAAAAATCCAAGGAAGATGAGTCCACTACCTCTCATGGGAGTCTGTTCCACTGTCGAACAGCTCTTACTGTCAGAAAGTTCTTCTGGTATTTAGTCAGAATTTCCTTTCTTGTAACTTGAATCCATAGGTTCAGGTCCTAGCCTCCAAAGCAAGAAAAAATAAGCTTGCTCATCCTCCATCTGACAGTCCTTCAGATATTTGAAGATGGCTATCATATCTCCTCTCAGTCTTCTATTTACCAGGCTCCTTCAATCTTTCCTCATAAGGCTTGGTTTCCAGACCCTTGGTCATCTTGGTGGCCATCCTCTGCACACATTCCAGCTTGTCAATATTCTTCTTAAATTGTAGTGTCCAGAATTGGACACAGTATTCCAGGTGTGGTCTGACCAAGGCAGAATAGAGTGGTACTATTACTTCTCTTTGGGACGTGGGTGGTGCTGTGGGTTAAACCACAGAGCCAAGGACTTGCCGATCAGAAGGTCGGCGATTCGAATCCCCGTGATGGGGTGAGCTCCCATTCTTTGGTCCCTGCTCCTGCCAATCTAGCAGTTTGAAAGCACGTCAAAGTGCAAGTAGATGTAACTGGCTGACTGACCGAACCCAAAGGGTGCTCATCAATGGTTCCTCTTCATCCTGGAGAAGAGTGACTAGTGGGGTGCCACAGGGTTCTGTCTTGGGCCCGGTCTTATTCAACATCTTTATCAACGACTTGGATGATGGACTCAAGGGCATCCTGATCAAATTTGCAGATGACACCAAATTGGGAGGGTGGCTAACACCCCAGCGTACAGTATCACACTTCAAAACGACCTCGCCAGATTAGAGAACTGGGCCAAAAACAAACAAGATGAATTTTAACAGGGAGAAATGTAAAGTGTTGCACTTGGGCAAAAAAATGAGAGGCACAAATACAAGATGGGGACACCTGGCTTGAGAGCAGTACATGTGAAAAGGATCTAGGAGTCTTGGTTGACCACAAACTTGACATGAGCCAACAGTGTGACGCGGCAGCTAAAAAGCCAATGCAATTCTGGGCTGCATCAATAGGAGTATAGCATCTAGATCAAGGGAAGTAATAGTGCCACTGTATTCTGCTCTGGTCAGACCTCACCTGGAGTACTGTGTCCAGTTCTGGGCACCACAGTTCAAGAAGGACATTGACAAACTGGAACGTGTCCAGAGGAGGGCAACCAAAATGGTCAAAGGCCTGGAAACGATGCCTTATGAGGAACGGCTAAGAGAGCTGGGCATGTTTAGCCTGGAGAAGAGGAGGTTAAGGGGTGATATGATAGCCATGTTCAAATATATAAAAGGATGTCACATGGAGGAGGGAGAAAGGTTGTTTTCTGCTGCTCCAGAGAAGCGGACACGGAGCAATGGATCCAAACTACAAGAAAGAAGATTCCACCTAAACATTAGGAAGAACTTCCTGACAGTAAGAGCTGTTCGACAGTGGAATTTGCTGCCAAGGAGTGTGGTGGAGTCTCCTTCTTTGGAGGTCTTTAAGCAGAGGCTTGACAACCATATGTCAGGAGTGCTCTGATGGTGTTTCCTGCTTGGCAGGGGGTTGGACTCGATGGCCCTTGTGGTCTCTTCCAACTCTATGATTCTATGATTCTATGAAATAGGTACCGCTCTGGTGGAAAGGTAAACGGCGTTTCCGTGTGCTGCTCTGGTTTGCCAGAAGCAGCTTAGTCATGCTGGCCACATGACCCAGAAGCTGTACGCCGGCTCCCTCGGCCAATAAAGCGAGATGAGCGCCACAACCCCAGAGTCAGCCACGACTGGACCTAATGCTCAAGGGTCCCTTTACCTGTAACTTTATTACTTCCCTTGATCTGGACACTAGACTTCTGTTGATGCAGCCTAGAATAGTGTTAGCTTTTTTGCTGCTGCATCACACAGTTGACTCATGTTAAGCTTGTGGGTCCACCAAGATCCTTCTCACATGTACTGCATGCAATACACTGATCTCTGCCATGCATTCTATACAACCCTTGTACCTGATGGCCTCCAGTCAACTCATTGATGTTAGGTTTGTTAATAATAGACAGCTCAGACCTCAAGCTTCCACTGTACAGTGGTACCTCGCAAGACGAATGCCTCGCAAGACGAAAAACTCGCAAGACGAAAGAGTTTTTCGTTTTTTGAGTTGCTTCGCAAGACGAATTTCCCTATGGGCTTGCTTCGCAAGACGAAAACGTCTTGCAAGTTTGTTTCCTTTTTCTTAAAACCGTTAATACCCAGGGAAACCGTGCTTCGCAAGACGAAAAATTCGCAAGACGAAAAAACTCGCAGAACGAATTAATTTCGTCTTGCGAGGCACCACTGTACTCAAGAGGCCACACTTTTTGTCAAGCAAATCAACAACTAAAGGCATGGTTGAGTAAGTACAATGAGGGGAATGACAAAAACAGACTCTGTACAAAAGTCACTATTTCTGAGGATAAGGAAACAAGATTCTTTTTTAAAAAGTGTCAATTTTTCATTTTAGCCCAATTGAGACTTTTTTTGAAAACCTATTTCTCTCTCGCCTTGTTGTTATCATAGCAATTACAATGGTCCCTTTGTTGTTTTCTTTCTGCAAGCATACTTAGTTTCATTGCAAATGATGGAGCTGTATTTTTTGTTTTGGTTGCCAAGTAGTGATGGACATTCCTGCTTGATTTTTCTTTGCTAGGTTCCACTTAATTAAGTGCCTAACAGAGAGATCTAGCATCTAGGATTTTATCCTCTGGATAGGAGGGAAGGGAACTACCTAAAACTCCAACATTATTTACCCCAGCAAGTTTTCCCATTCCTGCAAAGAAAGGTCAGCAGATAAGGGTCTTGGCTCCACCCACAGGTCGAAGGCAGGCAGCAACATTTTGGGATGTAGGGCTCCCAGGATTCAGTTTGCTCCCACCTTCATGGAGTGCAGCCAGATCTCCATTTGCTCCTATTCTTTTGCTGTCTCCTTGGGTCTTTAAATATATTTACCTCACTGGCTTGCTCTCCATCAGTTCTGCTGGTCCCCGAGCCCCTTCTCTGGTGTTTTTAACTCACTTCCTTCTCTCTTTGTCTTTTCCTACCAAAATACAAGAAGGGAGTTAGCTCTAAATTTTAACCCCCTCTTACTCCTTCCAAGGCAGCAGTAGTGCAAGCTGAACCTAAAACTTCTAACTAGTTTTCCAGTTATAGCTCCACTAAAGAATGTGTCCAAATCTGAATGGGAATCCCCACCAAGGTTTTGTGGTGCAATAGATAGTGCATTGGACTTCTAGCATAGTGCGGTAATTCAAAGGTTGTGGGTTCAAGTCCCACCAGAGTCACCAAGTTAAGAAGCTAGTGTCCATTGGTATCAAATTCTACACTCCTGATACTGAGTTATGGACTTATTAAAGATTCCAAATGTAGACTGTCCAGTTTCCACTTTAGTTTCTAGGATTTTACTTTCCTCAGGATGGAAAGAATGCCACTTGGACTTTGTCATTCACAGTGCCCTTGAAGTGCCTCCTTATTTATCTGTTCTTCATGCACAGCAACCTTATTGCATCTAGTCTGGACTGATGACCTCCTCTGCCACCCAGATCAGGATCCAAGCCGTACTTGACAAATGCTGCTTATGATCTACTGGTCAGCTGCCTTTATTGCAGATGCCACACTGGATTCCACCTAGTTTGCTTCCCACTCTCTGGTAGCAGACATTGTGGCTAAGCATACTCTATAGCTTGAGCACTGGGATGCTGACACCCCCATCTAGGATTAAATAGCTCCCTACATGGGTACTAAACTGCTTGAAGAGAATATCTTAAAGGATAGCTTGGTTGAAGCAAAAGATGCTGCTTATCCATAAGAGGGATGACAAGAGATTTAATAGACGTTAACTCACCATACTCTCCCAACCAGTCCTTTTGTAATTTTCATCTGCAAGGAAGAAACAGAGTACGAACCTAACAGACCAAGGAGCAAGCCAAGCAACAATCCTAACCAAACCCAGCCCAATCACCTCCACCACTTTTGCTGCTGCTGCCTCTGTTGCTGCCGCCTTAATCTCTGGAACAAGTGAAAAAGATCGGCTCAGAGGTTTGGACCCTCATCAAATCCAAGAAAGTGGACCTCATGTTTATGGCACGAGTTCTAGGTCTGTGCATCTCAGCAGCACATACCATTCTGGGGGGAAAGCACCACACCATTCCTTCTCTAATGGGCTCTGCTTCCCTACCAGAAAGTCATCACATTGAGCAGACACCTGCATGTCAAACTCCCTCACCACATCCACCAAGTCTTGATATAGTGGACAGTGTGATCCAACCTGCAGAAGGGCTCTCTTTTCGGCAATCTCCTGAGAATAGCAATCGCCTCAGATGGGTTAGGGAGCTCACTGTGGAGATCTAAACATCCAAGGCCTATGGTCTTCTGCGGAAGCATCAATGAACATTAGTCGGCTAGAGCTTTGAGCAGCTTGACTAGCCCTACAGCACTTTGCTCCTCATCTCCACCTCAGCAATGTCCTAATCTGCATGAATTCCACTACAGCAAAATCCAGCATCAGTAGACAAGCAGCACCCAGTCTTGGGAGCTTCAGGCAGAAGCTCCTTCTCAGCTGGGCAGAACACGCTGTCCTGTCAGTCACAGCCAAGCACATCTCCAGTCTCCTGAACGCAAAAGCAGACAGGCTGAGCCACAGGAATATAGACCAAGCAGAATGGCAACTGTATTTGGCAGTTTTTCAACAGCTTCTGTCTTAAGTTCAATCAGTGCCATGTGGACCTCTTTGCCTTAGCAGAAATCATCCACTTCCATGGTTCTATACTAGATTCCAGTCACCATCAGTGGAGGCATGGGATACCCTGCTCTCCCCATGGCTACCAGGACTTTTCTATGCCTTCATTCCACTTCCTATCATTCTGAGGGTCCTTCAGAAGATCACAGAAGTGAGAGTCCACCTAATTGCACCATTTGGCCTCATTGCTCTTTGTTCCCTCAAATACTCCACCTCACAGAACAAATCTTCTCTCTCAAGGTCCGATTCTTGATCCAGATCCCGAGTGGTTCCAGCTGATTGCATGCAGTTTGAACGGTGACACCTAACTAAGCTGGACTTACCTGTAGACATCACTGATAAACTCCACTCCAGGAGGCCCTCTACTTATACCAATCCACCCAGAAAACCTTTTGGCTCTGGTGCATGACCACAAGATGTTTCTACAAGAAACTGGAATTTTCTACTATCTTTTCCTGTTTCCAGGATGGCCTCGGTAGAGGCCTTTGCCCAAATACTGTCAAGAAGTGGTGGCTCTCTCCTCCATCCTGTCATGACCATTCACTTTCTCCCTCTCCTCCCGTCCACTCTTGAAATGATTCCTTAGAGGGACAACGCTTAAAATGTTCCCTGACCAGCCACAGAAGCCTCCCTTCAAAGCACTGTGGAAGGTCTCCTTCAAACTACTATACTTCAAGGTCACATTTTTAGTTTTACTTCAGCACACAATTTTGGAACTTGGCACTGTATCCACATCCAAGCACCTCTGAACTTTCACAAAGATAGCCTTCTTTTCTAAAGACGCTTCTAGCTTCCACTTGCAGCAAGAACTTGTTCTTCCCTCCTGTCTAGTGCATCCAAGAGAAAAGGCTTGGCATTCTCTAGACATATACAGAGCCTTAAAAATATACATTGCTCAAACCAAAGAGCTCAGGTGAACAGAATCTCTCTTCGTGTCCTTCCATCTCTTCTCCTTGGGGAAGAAGGTAACCTCTGCCACCTTAGCCAAATGGATAAAAGCCTGCATTGCTCTTTCCTGTAAGGCTTCCCATGCCTTCTCACATCACTGCTCACTCTACACATTCTGCAGCCACCTCTGCTGCATTCTCTACTAATGCTTCCATTGCAGAGCGAACATCTGGGCCTCCTCCAGCACCTTACAAGACACTATTGCCTTTGCTTCAGTGGAAGCTGCCTTTGGTCGGAGGCTCCTACAAAAGGTCCTCTTTCCATAACACTGCAGCCTGTCTCCTGCCTGAGATTGGGATAGCTCTGGTATGTCCCAATCTGCTGACCTTTCATTGCTGGAATGGGAAAAAGTATGATTGTTCCTTCCTTAATTGTAGTTTGCTATTCCCAATGAAAGATGCAGGATCTGTCCTTAAGACAGACTGCAGTACCTATCATTTTCGCTCTACTTTCTCCTTTCACTGTATGTCTCAGGCACAGAATTTGATTTTTCCTTCTATAACTCCTGTCCTTTCTCAAGCTTTGTGAGTTCACAAACTCAATCCTGGGAGTCTTGCATCCCAAAAGGTTGCTGCCTGCCTGCAACCTGTGGGTGGAACCAAGACCCAATCTGCTGACCTTTCATTGGGAATTAAAAACTTACAATTCAGGTAGGTACAATTGTACTTTCTGAATGCCCACTCAAGATTCATAGATTGCCCCCTGAAGGACATTTGGTACTGATTAAGAATTTTTATTTATTTATTTAATAAAACATGTATACTACTTACTAGAACAAAAGACCTCTAAGCTAGTTGACCATTTAAAAAATAATAATCAGCCACCTAAACTCAAAACAATTAAAACAATATCTCCCCTAACATGTGCAATAGATTATTCTAGCCATCATTTTTTGTACCAGTTGCCTTTTCTCCTTGTTGGCTTTGGCTGGTGAAAACAGCATAGTCAAACTTCCTTGTTAATTTGGCATGTATAAAAAATAATTAAACAGAATATGGGGCTATAATACAGCAGGAAAAGAAGATTGCAAGATTAGAAAGCTTGGCCCAAAACATGAAAGCCAAAATCTTCAAAGAATGAGAGTGGGAAAACGTGGGGGCATTGACTTCTAGCTGCTGAGTTCGTTGGTGGGGTGTAATGAGGAATCTCTTCTTTCTTAAGAACTTCAGAGGATGGAAATATCTACTACAGATATTTGTGCTATCCTGAGCAAATTATTATTATTATTATTATTATTATTTTGCTGGTGTCACAAGTATCAAGTATTGAGCTGTGAAACAGCTACAATTTTCAGGTTGCCCAATATTGTTTATGTAATATCCTCATTAAAAAAAAAAAAGTACTGTGTGTTACCTCAGTTTAAGTAATTTAATACTCATAGTAATTTATGTGCCTTAAATTGTAGAGACACTTTTACATGTCCTGTTTGACTCTTCCCAATATTAAGAAATCCAAAACAAGACCACTTCTTAGTATTTATTGCAGGAGCTGCCAGGGCTAAAGTAGTTAGTTCCCTGTTTACATGTAATGAACCCCCACAACCAAAGCTTTTTTCTAGCTCCAAAGGTGTCAGAACTCGCCTCCCTGAGAAGACCCATCCAAAGCCCAGAGACAATATATTCTGGCTAGGGGGAGTGTCTCCTTGTGAGCCAGAGGCAGCCTCTGTCACCCTCCATTTGTGGAGGTCCCTCAGTCACTTTCACAGGTCTGGAGGGATTGTGCGGGTGGGGATGGTGGAGATTGGGAAAAGAGGCAGCCTGCCCCACTTGCTCAGCAGTACCCCTCTCTGAGAGGTGCTGGAACGCTGTTCCGGGGCATTCCAGCTGGAAAAAAAGCCCTGCCCACAACCTTAGTCTGGAATATCTCTCTAGTAATGAAGGATGTGAAGGTATTATATCTGCTCCTCACACCCTGCTCAGGCTACAACATTGCTTAGGCCACGGTAGTCTCCGCTGGCTCATTTTGGCTTACTTCCTGTGTTGGCTCCCACTCAGTGGCCAACTAAAGTTCAGCTTTGGCAATTTATACTTTGGCAACTAGCCAGGCATCGTTTTGTCAAAAGTAGTTCTTTATCACTGCCCACTACTTTATTGCTTTTTAATAGGTGTCACATTATTTGATGGTATTTGATTTTACTGTTTACTATTATATTCCAATGGATTATTGAATATTTCTTTGATATACAGTAGGTTGTTTATTTTAAAGTTATGTTTTTATTATGAATGTTTTTGTATTGGATCATATGTGATCTTTGCTGTCTGTTGTTTCTTCAGTTTGTAAACCGCCTTGTGCATAGTAATATAGAAAGGCGGCATACAAATTAAAAGTGAAATGAAAATGAAATGGAACATACAGCGGATATACCAGCAGATTAGAGAATGTAATTATTTTGGCCAGTTGGACAGTCCGTTAGGGATTCCATTATAAGACTTTCATTATATTATATTGCATTTGCTGACAGGCTATACATACTAACTAAATGACACTTTCAGTTTTTAAAACCAAGTTTTCAGAAGTGTGGATTCTGCCGAGAAGAAGCCTACAAACATTCATCACTTGAGCCCTGTGATAATTTTTAGGAAGCAATTATGGTTTCTT